GTCTGTCTTCTGTTGCTTCTGTAATGATTGCAAGTATTTTGTATCACTAGAATCTGTGCGGAAGCTCTGGTGGTGTAGTGCCTAAGGCACTTGACTGCTAACCAGAAGGCTGGCAGTTCAAACCCACTGCCACTCCTTGAAAGGAAGATTGGGCAATCTACTTCTGTAGTGACACTGCCTCAGAAACCCAAGGAGGGGTTGCTGTGAGTCGGATCCAACTCAACAGCAGTGAATTTAGTATCTGTGCAAGACCGTCCTCAGCTGAATCTATCTTTAGTGTAGAGTATAATCCTGTTCACTGACCCCCATCTGATCTTCTCAGTTGTCTATGTGTTTATCTGTAGCCTGGTGTTTGGTCTTAATGGTAATGCAGTATTGTGGATATACTGTTGTTTGTATCATATATGAACAATTTGGTGTCCGCCCTTTCCCCAATGTTATCATGCTGGTCTCAGACCCTTTCCATACCATCCCTCCCCTTACCCAACTAAGCGTGTGGCCCTCAACTAGTCCAAAATCATCCCCTCCTCTTTTCTCCCATTCCTGACAACCTACAAAGTGAGTTCTCTTCCCTAAGCAAACCCTTCATTGACTTTTTACAATAATGGCTCATACAATATTTGTCCTTATGCAATTGACTTATTTCACTCACCATAATGTCCTCCAGGTTCATCCACGTTGTGAGATGATTTGTGTATCCTTCATTGTTCTTTAATGTAGCATGGTATTGCATTTTGTGAATGTACCATAGTTTAGTTTTCCATTCATCTGTTGATGGGCATTTAGGTTGTTTCCATCTCTTTGCTATAGTGAATTGTGCTGCAGTGAACATGGGTATGCACATGTCTGTTCATGTCCTGTTTCTCATCTCTTTAGGAAATATTCCTAGTAATAGAATTGCTGGTTCAAATGGTATTCCTATTTTCAGTTTTTTAAGGAAACGCCATACCATTTTCTACAATAAAAAAGCCACTGCCATTGAGTTGAATCTGACTCATAATGACCCCTCCTTGGGTTTCCTAGGCAGTAGTATCACTGTGGAAGTAGATTGCCCAACCTTCCTTCCAAGGAGTGGCTGGTGGGTTTGAACTGCCAGCCTCTGGTTAGCAGTCAAGTACCTTAGGCACTATGCCACCAGTCCCACCAGCAGTGTATGAGAGTTCCAATCTCTCCTCAGCCTCACCAGCATTTGTTATGTTCTGTCCTGTTGAACTTTGCTATTATGGCTGGAGTGAGATGATACCTCATCATTGTTTAGATTTGCATCTCTCTAATGGCTAATGATTGTGAGCAATTCCTCATGTGTTTGTTAGCTGCCAACATACCGTCTTCATTGAAGTGTCTGTTTGTGTCCCTTGCCCATTTTTGAATTGGTTTGTCTTTTTCGTGTTGAGGTGTTGAACTCTTCTATAGATTTTGGAGATAAGTCCTTAGTCACAGGCAAATATTTTCTCCCAATCTGTAGGTTCTCTTTTGACGAAGTCTTTCAATGCACCTAAGAATTTAATTTTTAAAAGGTCCCAGTCATCTAGCTTCTCTTCCACCTCCTGTGCATTCTAGGTTATGCTTGATAGGCTATTTATGCCGTAAATTAGGGCCCCTAGATTTGCTCCTATTTTATTTTTGATGAATTGTATAGGTTTTTTTTTTTGTTGTTGTTGTTAATGTGCCATGGAGTTGGACCCGACTCATAGCAACCCCTCCTTGGGTTTCCAAGGCAGTATCACTACAGAAGTAGATTGCCCAGCCTTCCTTCTGAGCAGTGACTGGTGGGTTTGAACGCCAGCCTTCTGGTTAGCAGTCAAATGCCTTAGGGATTTTGCTACCAGAGCTCCCATTTAGTTTCGGGTTTTATATTTTAAGTCTTTGATCCAACTTGAGTTTGTTTTTGTATATGGGGTAAGGTATGGATCTTGTTTCATTTTTCTTAGATTGCCCACTCTTCCTTCTATGGAGTGGCTGGTGGGTTTGAACCTCCAATCTTCTGATTAGCAGTCAAGTGCCTTAGGCACTACGCCACCAGAGCTCCTTAGTTAATACTAGGAATGAAAATTATTTATGAAGATAAAGCTTTGAAGGTTGTAAATACCCAATAAATTTTGTGAATAATGAATTTCTCAAGGTGTGTGTTTATATTTTAAAAATAATATATGCATTTAAAATAAAATCATGGAAATTTTTGGGGGACAATTGAGTGTCTAAAAATGCCAGTTTTATAGCTGTTTATGAGAGTAAAACAATTATGTGATTTTATTCTCAAGTTTGATGGGAAATTAAAAATTTCTTTAAAAACACTTATTTTTTTTTAAATAAAATAATGTAACCTCAGATTTTTTCGTATTAATAGTCACTTAGTAGTAGAAGGATTTTAAATTTACAAATTAAGTATTTTAAAAGAATTGATATAAACTTTATCAGAAGACAATTATAATTTAAACTTGGAGGCTAAAATAGTTAAAATATGCCACCACCAAAAATAACAAAGGAAAACAATATGCTTCTTGTATGATTGTTTTTGATAATAGGAATGAAACATGTACCAATTTTGGCTAATTCTCTCTTATGCTTGGCAGAGCTTGGAGATGATTGGTTCCAAACTCTTTTGAGTTCAAACTAAATTAATGGTTTGGATTTTTTAAAACTACATTTCCCGTGTAGAGTCACAAATGCCTGTATTTTCTGGTACTCAAGGGTTTTAAAAAGAACTTGAAAGATTTCTGGTAAAGGTAATGATCTTTATTTTGGGAAAAGTGATAGAATGGAAATTTAGATGAATGAAAGCCAAAGAAAGTTCTGGTTTCCTTTTAAAGAAGATAAAGTATCTGACAGTTTTAGCAGATTGAGAATCAAAATAAGAAAAACCTGTTTCTACTTTATTTTTTGATTTTTCATTCTTGTAGTAAATTTTGAAGTATATGAATTGTTCATTACAATGCAGTGAGATATGGTGAAAAATATAATACCTATTTGAAATTTTAATGTTATTTCGATTCTTGATAATAGCCTGGGACAGTATTCACACCCACATTCAGAATGCTGTGGATTGCTTATAGGTAGTCTGTTTTGGTATTGGCCAGATTATCCATTTCTCAGGGTGTTTAAACTTTTTCAACCCTTTATAGTCATTGGTGCAGTTTGACCCTCAAATCAGCAGAACAGAGTAAATATTTTGGCCCTTCAGTTTTTTTAAAGCAGGTCTTTTTTTTTCAATTGTGATTTGGGTGAAGATTTACAGAGCAGATTCACTTTCCATACAGCAGTTCACATATACTTTGTCTCATGACATTGACCACAGTTTACCACAATGCACCACTTCCTCCCCATAGTTACCCCTTCCCAGTGTCCATCCCTCCATGTACCCCTGACTCCTGAGCTGTCTCCCTGTGCATAAGCAGCCCCTCTTTCTCCCATGATTGTTCTCTCCAAGGAATGTATCTACCTGAGGTAAATGTTCAACTCATATGCCTGTCTTTTGTTTGGCTGGAAACCACAGGTGTGGGTTCAATTCCAGACCTGAA